AGTCAAGCAACCAGACGTTGCATAAGACTGATGAAGTCATAATTTTAATGAATCTATAAAATTATATATAGATATATCTTCGTCGTATACACACACACACACACACACACACACACATATATATATATATATATATATATATATATATATATATATATATATATTAATAGACTATATTTTTGTTTAAAGTGCTGAATATCAAGGATATAGCTTACGTAAATATAAAAGTAGACATTGATGTTAACACATTATTGATGCATTGTGGGTAGTATATTGTATTATTTTGACCGTTATTGTGGTGGGTAACGGTTATGTTTCGAATTAATCCAAGGGCTATTCAGTGGGTATAATTGTGGATCCGGATGCAGTTACTTGTCTATTTTGTTGACATTATTGATTTATTTACTGTTAATTATTTTATTATTGGTGGTTGTTATTGCATCTACCTGTGTTATGTGTGCGTTCATGGTTTGTTTTTTCTGTATTATTTACTTAATTCATGTATTTATTGATTGGTTTGGTTTAATATATTATACTGATTTGTGTTTATTTATTTTATTTTATTAATTATTTATTTTTCTTCATCTTCGTTTTCAGTTTTCGATTTTTAAGGAATGTAGTAATTCTTTCTCGTCCGGCAAAGCCTTAGGTGTTTTATCTTGTAAATGGACAAACCATTACCCAAGGGGAAAAAAATGGGTAAAAAGAAAGGACTAAGAACATATATTTCCGGCGAAAATAATCGTCTAGAATCTACGCTCAGAGTCCAAAGAAAAAAACCTCTGATACGAGTAAGTAAAATAATTAAACAAAGTGCTCAGTACGCTAAGTAGAGCAAATAAAGCAAAGTAAACGTAAAGAGCCAGATAAATCTACCTAGGTTTCACCTACGCGGATCGTCAGGTCAGACTGACGATCCGCGTAGGTTAAACCTAGTTAGGCTTGTCTGACTCTTTAGGTTTACTTTGATCTCTCTCTCTCTCTCTATCTATCTATCTATATATATATATATATATATATATATATATATATATATATTGAACTGCTCCTTTAATTGAAATTACAATATCCTATCCAACGTGCAACTTTCGGATAATAACTGACATTCCTGTAATTATTGAACAATATAGTTCATGCCAGATTGACGCAAAACCTACCAGTGCAAAAGAATTCTCCTATTACCATATTAGTACAAAAACGCACAACCTTAAAATTTAAAATTCAAACGTTCCAAAACAATAACACATTTCTCATACCATTTTTACGGATTACATCCATATTTTCGTTGTCCTGTTATTACCGAGAAGTAAAAAACAAGAACAAACCTATTTCCATACCTGAGGATGTCTGTAGGAACAGACGAAAGCTCGTAAAAACTAACAAAGACCTTATGCAACTGGAATTTATAAACAGGGATCATATCATTCATATACAGGTTCGGGGTTAATGTACTTTATTAAAATTGTTTGCGAGGATTTATCCTCGCCATTTAAATCATTAACTTCTATATTTGTTTTTTGTATGAATGATTCATGTAATTATATATATATATATATATATATATATATATATGAACACAAATAAATGTAATAATAATCAGCAACTAAGTTTACAGGATTATGTTAACACAACAGAGATAAGCGCAAAAACATGCGAATGTGTATATGTGTATGAGTCTCTGTGTGTGTGTGTTTAAACGTGGAACCCCAAATGGTAATTATAATAATAGCTCTTTCCTTATGAGGTAACAATCGACATTCATAGGTAGTGCAACCAGTTGTCCCGGTGAACTTTTTGAGATATCTCTTTTAAAATATTTTTTCCGGAAAATGTGGCGTCACTGAAATCCGAAGAGTCACTGTGATGGACAAAGATGCATTCCAAAAGCTAAGCAGATTATTAAGAGACAGGAAAACTCTGTTAGAAACAAAGAAAAGTAGTAGACTGTACGGTTACGTGATATATGTTCTCCTATATGGAAGAGAATGTTAATCTCCTGAAAGATGAAGAAGAAACCTGGAGCAACAGAAATGGGGTTCTATAGAAAGATGCTGAGGATAACATGGACCAAACATGTAAGCAACGACGAGGATTAGAGAAAAAGGAAACAAAAAGGAAACTTATACTTAACCTTAGAAATAGTTAGTTGAAGTTACTATTGAACGATGCTGAGGATACCATTGACGTAACATGTGGGCAACGACGAGGTTTCAGAGAAAAAGGAAACAAAAAGGAAACTTATACTTAACCTTAGAAATAGTTAGTTGAAGTTACTATTGAACGATGCTGAGGATACCATTGACGTAACATGTGGCCAACGACGACGTTTTAGAGAAAAAGGAAACAAAAAGGAAACTTATACTTAACCTTAGAAATAGTTAGTTGAAGTTACTATTGAACGATGCTGAGGATACCATTGATGTAACATGTGGGCAACGACGAGGTTTTAGAGAAAAAGGAAACAAAAAGGAAACTTATACTTAACCTTAGAAATAGTTGGTTGAAGTTACTATTGAACGATGCTGAGGATACCATTGACGTAACATGTGGGCAACGACGACGTTTTAGAGAAAAAAAAAAAAGAAACAAAAAGGAAACTTATACTTAACCTTAGAAATAGTTGGTTGAAGTTACTATTGAACGATGCTGAGGATACCATTGACGTAACATGTGGGCAACGACGACGTTTTAGAGAAAAAGGAAACAAAAAGGAAACTTATACTTAACCTTAGAAATAGTTAGTTGAAGTTACTATTGAACGATGCTGAGGATACCATTGACGTAACATGTGGGCGACGACGACGTTTTAGAGAAAAAGGAAACAAAAAGGAAACTTATACTTAACCTTAGAAATAGTTGGTTGAAGTTACTATTGAACGATGCTGAGGATACCATTGACGTAACATGTGGGCAACGACGACGTTTTAGAGAAAAAAGGAAACAAAAGGAAACTTATACTTAACCTTAGAAATAGTTAGTTGAAGTTACTATTGAACGATGCTGAGGATACCATTGACGTAACATGTGGGCGACGACGACGTTTTAGAAAAAAGGAAACAAAAAGAAAAACTTATACTTAACCTTAGAAATAGTTAGTTGAAGTTACTATTGAACGATGCTGAGGATACCATTGACGTAACATGTGGGCAACGACGACGTTTTAGAGAAAAGGAAACAAAAAGGAAACTTATACTTAACCTTAGAAATAGTTAGTTGAAGTTACTATTGAACGATGCTGAGGATACCATTGACGTAACATGTGGGCGATGACGACGTTTTAGAGAAAAAAAGGAAACAAAAGGAAACTTATACTTAACCTTAGAAATAGTTAGTTGAAGTTACTATTGAACGATGCTGAGGGTACCATTGACGTAACATGTGGGCGACGACGACGTTTTAGATAAAAAGGAAACAAAATGGAAACTTATACTTAACATCTGGAAGAGTTAATTGAAATTTCTGGGACAAATAATGAGGAGGGTGTCATAGAAAAGATAATACTCACAGGACAGATTGAAAGCGAGAGACAAAAGAAAACAGCGCTTAACATATTTGATGAACTTGAGTAAATGGATGCTGGAACAGTGTTACGAGAAAACAAAATTTATTACGAGCTACAAAAGAAAAGGAATTGTGGAGAGACATGGTCGACAATGATCTACTAGGAAACGGCACATAACGGAAAAGAGATTTCTCAAATACAGTAGCTCTTTCCTGTATTTACAGCGGCTGGGGAAGTTCCTTTTGTTTGTGCGACGTCAACATCTTGATTATGTCATTATTTTCTCTTCGAGTTAAATGCGATATCCATTTTAGCTGTTGCTGCTTTTGAAAGTCATCCAGCGACCTGGTTTTTGCTATCTGATGCAGTTCTTTATTTTGTGATTTTGTGAATTTGTAACTCCTGTCCAAAATGTTCGAAAGAGGATATTCTTTGCCAAGATCTACAAAATTCACTCAACCAAATCAAACTTTAAACATTGTTCTTAGAAAGCGGTAGAACTCAGTTGACAATTGACATATTCTGAATGGGTTTAGCGCCATGCTTGATATCCCTGTGTTGTAGAACACCTACGGAAGTTAATGGTTATGTCCCCATTCGCATAATAACAGTAGTACATAGTCTATGTTGTTCTTCAGCTGTGCTGGTCAAACACTCTGTCTCCGGGTAGAGAGGGTGCCCAGACGAGGCTATGTCGAAGGGCAGATTCACGTCTGGAGAAACAGCTACGGGGTCTACGGGGAATATTTGGCTGAGCCAACGTGCTTGGATACCCCACATTAAATTTGGCCTTGTACCGCGTGGGGTGGTTGGTAGATATCCTGCAGTTGGAGGTTCGTCTCCAGCTGTGCTGGTCAAACTCTCTGCCTTCAGGAAGAGGAGTATGCCCAGCCGAGGCTATGTCGAAGAGTAGAGTCTCGTCTCGGGAAACAAATACTCGACCCCGCCTTATGCGTGGTCTACGGGTATTATTTGGCCAAGCGTACGGGCTCGGATACCTCACATTACATTCGGCCTTGTGTCACATCTTACCGCATGGGGTGGCTGATAGATATCCTGGTGTTGGAGATTTATTGGGGAATTCACTTGACTCAATTCTAGCAGTTGAATAATTCTTCTACGCGCCGCTGGCGAATCTTATATGTGTTGCTCTTCTCTTATGTATTATCGTTCATTAGCAACCTCCATGTGATTATTCTATTCAGTTTACCTTCCCTTGGTTACAGCACTATGAAAGTATTGATTTATAGTGGTTCTTTATGAAATTGCCTCTAAAATTAATAGCTCTATAGCACCAAATCCAATGTTCACATTCCTTATCTCCATTCTAAATTTGTCGATAATTTATTGCTTTTGCCTAAAACATTATAGATGGCTTTTGATTGTAAAATAGCAGAGTTGGAATCTGACTGCAAATAACTATACTATATGCATTTTTATGAAATGTTAAAGTCGAGTTTGATATAAATGTATGTAAAAAGCAGCTGCATAATATTATTTACTGCAAAAGGGGCGCAAACATTAATATTTGTTGATTATGCCAATTATTTAGGGAGATTAAACAGTGGATGGGAGCACTGTTAGAATGAGAAGAATACATTTCATTTGTTTCGTCAACTTTTAATTTACAACATGAACAATATTTCTAAATTGCTGCCAAAATAGTGGTTCAAAAAATTTTGAAATACTTATTTTTTAAACATAACATTTGGTCTATACAACGGTATGACTATTTGATTGTGTAAGATCCATGAAAATAAGGAGTTTCTATTACTACTAGTAGTAGTACTACTACAACTATTATTACTAGTAATATATATATATATATATATATATATATATATATATATATATATATATATACATTTGTATGATTATATAATCTCGCCTCTTCTCTCTGTATATAAATTTATATATATATATATATATATATATATATATATATATATATATAGGTGTGTTTGCATATATATATATATATATATATATATATATATATATATATAGAGAGAGAGAGAGAGAGAGAGAGCGAAACTTATATATAATATAGATAGAGAGATATAGAGATAGATTAATATACGTCAAATGATACAATAATTATATATAATTTATTAAACTATGTACCGAATAAATCTGAAGGAATATATATATATATATATATATATATATATATATATATATATATATATATATATATATATATATGTGTGTGTGTGTGTGCGTGTATGTGTGTGTGTACATATAGAGTGCTAAAAAGTTGGTATACACTAAGTATTATAACTATTACCAGTGTTATAATAGTGGTTATAGGATTCATTTAATACTAGAATTCATTATTAAAACCATTTTATTATTTTTATTTACATAATTTTATTATAATATATTTATACTTTTTTATTTTATTGAATAAAAATAATAATAAGAATTTTTTTTTCTGCTAAAGAGAAGTCTGTGAATGACGGGAGCAAAGACTTTGAACATTGAGGGAGTGATTTTTTATATTACTATTATTTTTTTATTATTATTGATATTTTATTATTTTGATGTTTGCATAATCAATACAATACGTCATGTACGTGTATATATCGGTTTGTTTTCGTGAGTGTGCGTGTGTATGTGTATGTGTGTATGTGCGTGTGTATGTGTATGTGTGTATGTGCGTGTGTATGTGTATGTGTGTATGTGCGTGTGTATGTGTATGTGTGTATGTGCGTGTGTATGTGTATGTGTGCATGTGCGTGTGTATGTGTATGTGTGTATGTGCGTGTGTATGTCATGGTGGGTTTTTATAACCACAGATTCATACATTCTTATTTTCTGAATAATTGGAGAATTTCACTGTATAATGTGCCCACAATATAAACAATAATTGCCATGGGATTAAGTGCATTGGCAGGGATTTCTAAGAATTTGTATTTATTGTTTAAAATATATTTTTTTCTTTTCACCAGCCTACACACTTATTGGTATAGTTACGCATGTACACAATATATATATATATATATATATATATATATATATATATATATATATATACACAGTGAGATAGATAGATAGATAGATAGATAGATAGATATTACGAAAGAGAATTGGTGTCTGTTGTATGACAGAAATTTATACAGATTTTATTATGCTGATTGGCAGACAAAAATATCCATGTAGTGCGAACCCACATATCAATCAACTTCTATATTCACACCCAAAAACCCACGTATACTCCCCACCTACAGAGGGAGTGAGAAAGAGGGAGAGAGAGAAAGAAAGAAAGAAAGAAAGAAAGAAAGAAAGAAAGAAAGAAAGAAGGAAAGAAAGAAAGGGATTGAGAGGGTTTAAAAACCTTAAAAAGAAGAGTCAGACATGTCCAAAAAATAGAAGATAATAGGCCAAGGAAGGAACACACTGACATGGGAGTGAGTGGACTCACGAAGAAACTCTCTCATACAATAGAACAGGAAAAAAAAGGTCTTTCGGTGTATGTTTTTGTTTACTCACTATGCTAGTCCGCCTCCGTCGATCGCAGTCACGGCGACCGTCTCTTACTCGAAAAACTGTCAACATCGAAAACGAGGCCAGGTCGTGGCGATCCCCAATCTGAAACCGAATTTGTTGATATTTCTCGTCCAATCAGATTTCGAGGGACACGGAAAGCGGGAAAAAAAAGTGAAAGAGAACCAAGAGGATGAAGAACGGGAAAAAGGCGGGAAATGATAATCACGACCGGGAATGTTGTAGAGGTAGTTGTATTTATCGTGGTAGGAGTGTTGCTCTGTGCCCTTTGGATGCGCGTGGAAACTAAAGGGATAGACAGAATGTAGGAAAAGGGAATGGAAAGAAAACCCAAATAAACGAAATCGATCATACATTTATAGCGTTGTCACTTTCCCCTATCTCGCAATGCGAATAGGGTTATATAGGGCTTACATATTAAACATGCAACCGTCTACCGAAACCATTGCTGCTACTATTCAACTTGCTGGCGTTTTTCCAGCAAAAGTAGGGGCTTCATTTCATCTATTAAAAAAAGGGGTGGAGTAAAGGATTTACTACTAAGCCGTATACTGCTAAAGTCCCTACTTCTTTTTATTCTATATTACTATTATTATTATTGTTGTTGTGTTTCTTTGTACTACAACTGCTACTACTTTTATTATTATTATTATTATTAGTAGTAGTAGTAGTAATATTAGTAGTAGTATTTATTATTATTATTATTATTATTATTATTATTATTATTATTATTATTTTCCTTTTATCCTCTTCTTGCATAACAACATGATCTCCCCTTTTCTTCTTTTTTTTCCTTTCGAAAACTCCCTCTCTCTTCTTCTTTATATTCAACCGCCACCCTTTCTTGTGCGAATCCTTCTGTGTCTTTTCGTGTAATTCTTTATATTAAACTTAGCGAATATCGTTAATCTATACAATTAATTAAGTCATGTTTAATCCGTCGCTTTTAAAGTGCATGTTTGTCATTGAACCAACGTTGTGGTGATTACTGTTAGACAAATAAAAAAAATACTATTTAATTCATCCTCTTTGTTGATGACATTAACTCCCATAATGGCATTAAATTTCGTGAAATAAAAAGCGCCTTATTTGAAAACAAGCGATAATTGATTCCGTCAACATTATACCCTCTTTCTACTAAATTAATGGCGTATATTTTTAGTAACAATTCCCTTTTCAGCGGGATCAAAAGGAAGTAAATATTCCATACTATATTTTATTGGTTTTTAATGATATATTACAACAGTATACCTAAAAAAAACATGTGTGCATAATATCGGAATTTTATTCAAAAGAACAATTCTTATAGAAATTATCTTAAATAATATCATTTATTCTAATCCATTTATTATAGTATAATCTGAAATCTGTCCTATAATAAAAATTATAGCGTAACAGCAAATAATTTATTCAAAAGAAAAAAAAAAGTCATGGTATTATTTCAGGCTAATTGTATTTATTCCATTTTATTCTTACAGAGCTATCTGAACTATTTTCTGTGATATAGAGATATCATAATCTTAAACAGCAACATTTATTCAAAAGAACGTCCGATTGTATATTTTAATCAGATCATAATATGCCAATAATACTAATGCAATGGTTGTTAAATTGGGAATAATGCAATTCTTAACTGTAAGCACAATCCAGATGTCATAGAGAATAGAAATAAAGTAAAATTACTGATCTATTTGTTTTTTTACTACTTATCAACATTGAGAATGTTATTTAAATACAGATAACATTTTTACATTGTAAGACGGATTGTTTTGAGATGTGAGTGTTTAACTGATCCAAATCCGACTAATTAACACATAACTGGTGGAGAAGAGCTAGATTCCTACCTTTTTCAAGGGTATTTGCGCATAAGTGAATATAACGCCCCCGACTGGAATTGTAACTCGGTTAACCGATTTCCAAATCCGTGTCGATATCCATTGCACCACCCCCACACTCAAGCTTAAGTGACCTGGTATTCCCAAGCGGTCATCTACCTAGTTATTGACCAGTTTGGCTTAAATTCGGTGGTTGTAAGAGAATCGGTGTTCCAACGTGATATGGCCGAAATCTTTATTCAAAGAACAATAATAATTGTAATTGCATAATTTAATCATGTGATAACATCCAATAATGCTAATGTAACCTTTCTGTTAAACAGAGAATAGTACAGTTTTAGAAGTAAAAGCCCGATTCAAATGTCGTAGAAAATAGAAAAAAATATACAATTATCTAGAATATTGGAAGTCAGAAGGTGTCAGGTGATCAGATGTATTCATCGTAAACAAAGTAAAAGTGATATGTCAGCTGGTCGATGGCGCCGTTCCAGCAGACCTCATACGGAAACTGAAAGAGAATTAAAAAAGGACTGAAACATATATTGAATACGAAGGTGAAGAGTATTGCCAGCACTACATTTGAAAGTGATAGGTAGAATTTTTTTAAATGCGAAGAAAAAATGAAACCTGCCAGATAACAGAATTATTGAAATCAACGGGAATACAATAAAGGATGTTGATTTACTATCAAGTGATTCCAAGAACATCCAGAGCTCATGGTTGAATGATTTGATACTAGAGCTATAGAAAAACGACAACGAATAAAGATTTATATTAAAAAAGCAACTTTGAAAAGGATTAAATTAGAGCACTGTGTGATTTGTAAATTCGGGGAGAATCTAAGATTGATAAACAGAAAAAAATGTTTATAAATATGGTAAGGAAACACTGGCAAAAGAAATTCGACTTCTCAATCAGACTGCAATTTGTAAGTGTTGAAATTTGAGATATTATACATAAGAACAATGCCTGAGATTTATTTGTAATCTTTTCACCCCAAGCAAGGAAATAAAAGCATTTAGACAAGGGTTTGCTCGGAGTTAAAAAAACCCGTCGAGAAATTATTATTGCGTAGAGCGGATAATAAAAGATCCGGTTCCAAGGTGATAGATGATGATGATGGACATTGCATATAAAATTGATTCGAAAGCAAGAAGCCGGAAGAGAGTTCTACAAGTGAAACCTGCGATGGAAGAAACTGTTAGCATAGGACTTATCGCGAGATTTAGCTGTCAATCTCGACTTCATTGCACTTAGATTCGTAAATTCGACTTACCCAGGAAAAAAGTTCATCAGAACATTTACCATTAATATATATATATATATATATATATATATATATATATATATATATATATATATATATATATAGTTCATGCCACATTGACGAAAAAAACCTACCAGTAAAAAGAATTCTCTTATTACTATATTTGTACAAAAACGCACAACCTTAAAATTTAAAATTCAAACTCAGCGTTGTGACTGCACGTTCCAAAACAATAACACATTTCTCATAGCATTTTTTAGGATTATACCTATATTTTCGTTGTCCTCTTATTACCGAGAAGTAAAAAAACAAGAACAAATCTATCTCCATACCTGAGGATGTCTACAGGAACAGACGAAAGATTATAAAAACTAAAAAAGACCTTATGGAATTGGAATTTATAAACAGGGATCATATCATTCATATACAGGTTCGGGGTTGGTGTATCTTATTTATATTGTTTGCGAGGATGTATTCTCGCCATTTAAATCATTAACCTCTATATTTGTTTTTTGTATGAATGATTCATGAAATTATATATATATATATATATATATATATATATATATATATATATATATATGGAAAAGATAAAGAGAAGCTAGGTTCCGGCGGTCAGGATGATATGAACCCAAGACCGATAACTTTGGAGATCATTGTTTGGAATTTTGTCAAGAATCGCTAGATACACAGCAAAAGGATAAGAGATGGCATCACCGCATTATTCATGGCGGAGAAGTATGGTAGACTTACAACGGTATGAGAAAGATTCTGGCGAAACAAATTGTTTACAGCAACACAGTGAATCAATTTTCCTAGAATCAGACCGAGCAATTCAATATAATCGTTCCTATTCTTACTAGTGGAAAATGTTAGCCTGAGAAGGAATATTTTGTCATTCTCCTAGACGTTAGCATGAACAATGCTGATGGCAGACAATACAATGTTCTCTAAGACGTTTAAGGGAGAGAACATTCGTTTCAGGTTTTAGGCTATTTTTGAGCGTATCACGGTTGTCAGACTTAACATTAAGAGAGGCATAAATAGTTGTGTCTTAGCACAAATACCATGCTGAGAACTGATGGCATCGGGAATGTCACTGATGAAAGTTAGGAACATTTTAATAGAATATGAATGCTATTAATATCCCCAAAGTTACTGGAATACAGTGAATTCTTTTCAAGATTTTTGTGAGAGAATGGAATCAGCAGATTTCAGACACCGATGGTATTCAAACTAACGAAAATGATAGGAATATTGAAAAATATCTACATTTGAGCATATTTACTTCTACTTGCTTACCAGCGATGGCAAGTATTCCTACTTCTCTAGCATATATTTATTCCTTATTTGCTGTATTCTGTCATGATATTGGCGATTATACCTCCCCACAACTTCCTTTTCTTTGTAGCTCTTAGCAATGTATGATTTATACTACACTTCCCATTCTTTGATTTGTCATCCATAACCACGAGTTCCTTAATAAGATTACTTGCTGTCTCCATCTGCTCCACCTGCATTCATTATGCCCCGTGTGTGTCCAAATGTCCATGTCATTATGTATCCCACAAATCTTCTACGGTCGCTTTATGAGTGTAAATATACGGATCCCTTTTGTTTCTATTTACGTTAAGATTTCTTCGTTGCTCACATGTACCGTCTATGGTATTCTCCCATTTCGTTTGAAGATTGCTGTTGGCTCAAATATTCTGGTCATCTCAGGCGAAATTCTCCAGTATTCAATGACATTTCGGAGGAAGAATATTACAACAGAGCTGTGCCCCTTTCCTTTGTTTCTATCGAAACAAGAAAAATAGGCAACAATTTTGATGACGACGACAACGATGATAATTCATTTCCTTCTTATTACAGAATAAAGAAATTGACACTTTGACAGAGAATTAGAGAACGTGCTAATCAAAGACGACCTTTGCCTATCACGATTCTAGCACTAGAATCCTTAACTATGTCAGTGAACGAATTAAGGAATACACGAAATAGATTATTAGTAAATACGGCGTGATTGATGCTCTGAAAGTCATTTATATCATTTTTGCTTTGAGTCATGTTGACATATGACAAAGAATTAAAGAAACATTCAGATGAGTGTATTACGACAATCACTTCTAATACTGTGGATAATATTAATGAAATGAAGAGATTTCTGGTCCCTTGAAATATCGCGAAACTAATTAGATACTACAATGTAAAAAAAAATAAATGATAGTAATTAACCTAAATGGCTTATAA